TTGAAAGAACCAGTCAGCTTTGTTAGGCGACGACTCTCGTTGAGTATGACTCTGTAAAGAGTCTTAAAATTTTATTATTGGGAATGAAATATAACAGGAGAAAATAGAATAAGAATAAATATTTATTAATTTACGCAAGTCGTCACCTAACACTGATGTAATAATTTTGTTGCATTTACGATCTAAAGCTAAAATAATATGATTTATGAAATATTTTGTATTTTGTAATATTAAATGGGTTAAAATATCATTTACCAATCATTTTTAAACAGTATCTTTATGTTTGTAATCAATTGAAAAGATCTTTCAGTAAGTGACAGTAAGTTAATTTTAAATGGACAAGTATATACATATTAAAAAAAAGAATAAACATAATGCTACATCATTTGTATAAAAACTTTTATATTATCATCGATCATTTAAGGTATCGTGCAAAATGTCAAGACAACTTATTACACATGTTGAACCATTAGAATATGCATCTTGAAATAAAATTATAGTTTTTATTAGGGAATCTTATGAGATGCTCCGAATCAGTCAGACGATACCATAATTTTTTTTTAACTTTTCGTCCTAATATATAGTTTGATGATGTATTAATTTAAGGTTTCTCAGTATGACCCATAAAAAATTGATGGATTAACCCACAAATAATTCTTTAAAAAGCTAACACCTTAAATTTTACTGCATCGTCATAATTAAATATGATTTACTCCTAGAAGAACACTAGGTTGTTAGAGCATGACTATTTATTAGGCAAAACTTTTATAAATCAAGACCTCGCCATTCCGCAAACGGCCTCTTCAGGATAACAAACATCTGTATACAATTTAAACCTTAAGAATTACAAATACATAACGTTTATAATGATAAGTATATTATAAAAATTACCATGTAGATGCTACCATAGCACGTTCATCAGACAGTTAATTTATTTCCTACTATTTATACATTATAACTGAATCATAGAATATAAAATAGTATTCAAATATTTTTCTTAAAAATTGTATAAAAACAAATACACATATATACGCACAATCGAGTGCACTTATATGATACCATCTGCTTTAAGCAAGGGAGTATACGGCGCAGGGATTTCTAGTGTGGCATGTGTAGCTATATGTACAAATTGCTACGCGAGCATCAGCTAGTGCGCGGTGTAATATTGAAGGGCTCTTTCTGTACGAGAGGATCCGACTTAACCTAAAACTTTTTCCTCTTTAAGCAAGAATGGGCTCGACGGTCACGGATTAAATACCGTATCAATAATCTTTTTATATATTCGTAT